TAGGGTTTAGGGTCTAGGGTTGGGGGCTTATGGTTTAGGGACTACCCCACCGAAGACTTCGAAGACCGCAAAAAAGTTCCCACATGAAGACAAGTCGATCAAGAGTCGAAAACCCCGGCATTGAAAACCTACAAACGATGCGACACGTCGGTATTCGCTTGTTTGAGCCCCAAACGATGAACCCTACAGTAGACTGCTTATGTCGAAAAAAGCCGGGCTACAGATCGGACCCAGCATTTCGTCGAGGCGCTCCTCCAAGCGCAAGCAGGTCATAAGTAGACAATCCCAATTGACGTACCTACAACTCCATACATATGCATCCCACTTGGTCTTGTTTCCTTGGACCTTTAAGCAATATAGTGTCCTCAATGCTTTGAATACCATGTTGGGATACACACAATTTGAGAACAGAAACAGGAAGGGCGATAGGGAAGAATATGATAATTTTGTCCGACCCATGTCCCAATAGCTCGGGTCGCGAATCTAATCCTTCGCTTCCTTGGGACTTCTGCCTATCTCGAGGTTTGAGGCTTTGGGTGGTTCTAGGTATTTCGACTCTCACTCTCGCACACAGCAGGCAAGGATCCTCAAAATGTCGTCACGCCTACAGACGCAAGGAACCGCCAACCAGGGTCTAGGGCTTTGGGCCCAGGGTGTACTATGTTACCGGTGTCAGGGTTCGCTTTGAGGCTGTTGGTTGGCTTCGTGTGTGTTTGCTTTTGGCTCCGGTTTTTAAGGTTTGTTGTCGTGAGCTTTATAGCAAAGGTCGTGGCTGCGTGTGGTTACGACTTGAATTCGGCTCTTGGTGTGTTGAAGAGGAGAAAAAAGCCCTGCAAAACCGCCACCTGTTTTTCGGGCGCCAGCTCCCCGATGCGGCTCTGAATCAAGGAGACGTCGCCTTGGAGGCCCGAAACAGCAAGTTCAGTGAGCATGGAGCCCAATTGTTTTTGAACCCGGACTCTTGCCAATCGGCTGGGAAGCATGCGGCCCCTTGGGATCCTACCTTGGGCCCCCAAACAGAACCTCAAAACTGCGAGATCGCGCGTGGCCAGAACTGTACGGCACAGCTGGGCCCGGATCCGCCCCGTAAGACAAATCGGCACAAGCCCTCAAAGGGCTCAGAGCTTGTGTGCTTAGGCTACCTTGAAGAAGTAGGCTACAAGCGGCTACATGAACCTTAAGAAGTAGGCTACATCTAGCAGCTAGACAAGCCAAACATTGGGATCAGCATTCCTTGCCAAATCCTATGATCCATACTGTTCGCATGTTGGGCTCGGTAAAAGCAGACTCTGCATGAGTCGCCACGACGAATCAGACAGCTGCTTCTTCTGGGTTGGTGTTGAATTGCTGCCGTGCGCTGCTTCTCATGACTATGACGACTGCCACTTCATGCCCACTTCCACAAGGTTTGGTGGGGAGGGAGGTCAACAGGTAGTTGGTCGGTCGGTAGGTAGATTGGTGGGAGAGGTAGGTAGGTAGGCAGGTAAGTAGATAGGTAGGTAGGTAGGTAGGTAGGTAGGTAGGTAGGTAGGTAGGCAGGCAGGCAGGCAGGCAGGTAGGCAGGCAGGCAGGCAGGTAGGGAGGTAGGTAGGTAGATAGGTGGGTAGGTAGGTAGATAAGTAAGTAAAGGGAACTATATGACTAGATATTTTTGGCTCCCACTTGGCAACGTCAGCACGCTGACACTGTATGACTAGATATTTGTATATATATATAGACAGATATGACATATATATATATATATATATGTATATATATATATGTATATACATACACACATACACATATACATAAGCCGAAGCACAGAGAGCGAGGTAAACCTCCTCGCTGCAGCGCTTCTTGGCAACAGTCTGATCTCCTGCTTAAGCCGGCTGATTTGGTCCACTCTAGGATTTATCCGTCCTTCCATGTTTCTGCGTGGATTGGGGCCCTTGAGTTTGGTCTTATACTATGCTGACAGTTAGTTGCTCGGGAACCCGGGAAACCTGAGAAATGCCATTGCGAATCATTGAGGCTCCCACTCCTACATCTGCTTTCTGCGATGCGGCCGCATGAACCACGAGTTGAATTATCACCGCAACGGATTAGGGTTTAGGGTTTAGGGTTTAGGGTTTAGGGTTTAGGGGTGGTGGTGTCGGCAGTGGCGGGCTCAACCCTAAACGAGAAAAAACCGTGCTGCAACAGTCGTTGAGCGGCCCTGAAAAGCTTCCCTGGAGGGCCGAAGTGTGCCCTAGCAACAACCCGCAGCTTCAGAAGCTCAAGACGGCGAAACTTAGAGCCAACCGATTTTCGCTTTCTTGAACCCGGAGCTCTATCCATGTTCAACTGAGGGTTCCAAAAAAGCCCAGAATCCCAGATCCATGAACCTAAACATCCGAAAACTCGAACTCTGCCCGGAACTGCGCCCACTTACCCCGTCAAAGGCTGAGAGCGTATGGCTTCAAGCCAAACCCCTATAAACGAACCTGAAGCCTCAGCACGAATTTCATCTCGAAACCCAAAAGAAAGCATTGAGCTCTACGGCCCTAAACCCTCCTATGACTCCCTAAACCCCCAAGAACCCGAGAACCCCTGTGGAAAGCCTGAAAAAGGCCCCCAGTTAAAGACAAAAAGCGCCCAAATCCCCTCGTCGGAAGCCTTGCGCTCGCTCCAATAGGGCCGGCCCCACCTGTCTTGGCTTTTTAGGACAAGTCGGCGTGTGGTAGAGCTGGCTCAAGGATGATTGCCTCATCGTTTTGGGATATTGAGGACTTTTGGTGTTTTTGGTGTTTTTGGGGGTTTAGGGTTTAGGGCTTTCGACACACACACACACACACTCGCACGAAGCTGGCATGGCAAGAGAAGGTTCCGAGCTTTAGGGGTTTAGGGTTTTGAGGACTTAGGGTTTAGGTTTGGGGGGTGAAGGTTTGGGGTGCTGCAGGGGCTCGGGGCTCGTTCTTGGTGCTCTTTTTCGGGCTCCTTTACGGGGTACGCATACTTTACGAGATCTACTACAGGGGCTTCAGGGATTTGCGGGATTAGTTTTTGGCTCTAGGGGGTTCGGGGTCCTGCAGGGTTCTCTCTGAGGTGTCTGAAGGGGTTTGCTAGGGGCTTAGGGCCTACGAAACAAGCAGCTTAGGGCAGATGCCTTTCTTGACACACCTGCTCGGGGTTGAAGGGGGGTGTTTATGAGGCAGACGGCCTGGGTTTGAATGTGGAGGCTAGGGTTCGGGGAGGATTAGAATATAGTGTATATTCTAAGTTGGTATGTAGAATTTCGCAAATTGGAATCTCTGAGGGTTTTTGAGCTTCGCATGAACAGTGTTCTCTCTCAAATCGGTAGTATTGGCCCAACGCATTTTGCTGCGCGAAGCGCTGCCATCAAACATTAGAGCATAATCGACATGATAAGCAAAACGCAATGATAAAGCACCGACGACACCTCTTGAACAAAACAAAGCGAGCCTCATCGCGTGAATCGAGGTTTGGTTTTTCGATACTTTAAACATTTGCTTAATGCAGACACCCACCACCGAAGCCCAAAATCCTCGCTCAGACACCGAAACACAGACTGAGGTCTCGAACAAAAGCCTAAACTTGGCCTAAACCCCATAGCCTACCATAACCCACCAACACCTATTTTTGGTAGGGTCCCTCTATAGATTCTACATTCGAGTTTATGAGTAAGAGCCTGCAAACAAGGGTAGGTTCAGGTAGAGAGCCACGAACTCTCCGGGAGCCTGGGACCCCGCCTCGTAGCAAAGCTCGGCGACCAAGAGCTCTAGGCAGGCATCCTCCGCTACTCGGAAGTATGGCTTTGGCTTTTATTTATGGGGTTGCTTTCTCTTTGTAATGGGGTTTCCCTAAACCCTAAAGGGTTTTTGGGTTCAGGGTTTTCTCTATTTTACTTACCCCAGGGCTTCGGGTCTCTTCCGTGTAACACGCGCGTCATCCTTGAGGGTTGCTTTTGGCTCTCAAGGTTTACAGTAGCGAAGCTACGTGATGAAAAGCACAGACAACCACATGATTGGCAAGGGCTCGCAACACCACAAACTCAACTTACAAAGTCAAGCTCTTTGAGGGTTTAAGGGCTTGGAGAGTGTTAGTGGGGATGTTGGAGTTGATTTCGTGGCACGGGCCTGAGTTGAAGAAGGAGCTCTCATTTAGGAACGCGACACAAGACCCTAGCCACACGTCTTCGTTCGATATCGCATTAAAGTCAGCAGCACAGCTCCAAGCTGCAAGCTCCCATCCGGACACGTTCAAGAGCCTCCATCTGAATCTTATCTCTCCGGTTTAGGGTTTAGGGTCTCCGTCTCATGTAAATACCAACTGTCTGTTTCGAGACTTGCATGCCCGTCTTAAGCTGCCCGTGCCTCAGCCTACGAAAACAAACGGGAGTGTCCAGAACAGAAGGGCCCCACAAGGCAATAGACCTTGCGGGCACGCAGTAAGATTCTTATGACGGGCCCTTCTCCCACCTTAATAAGCCCCCAGGCAAGTGCTGTGCCTTCAGCTCCTCGCCACAGGACCCAGACAGCAGCAGGGCATAGGTGGCCTCTTTTTGCGATTTATGTTTGATGGACTTACAGCTGAGGATCACGGGCTTTTCTGGGATTCATGGGCCTTCTTAAGGACGTCCTAAATGGCTTGATATCTGCCGACTTCTGACAAAGGCTTGAAGGTTTCTGCACAGGGCTTCAAGCACTTCTGCAAGGCGACATCTGCGGACTTCGTGCACAAGCATCATACACAGCATCTCTTGCGTGGCAGATGGCCCTATCTTAGTTCAAGATTTCTCAACATGAGGGAGCCTCCCGAAACGGTGTGGTTCACGGAGTGAATAAACGAAAGGGGAACCCTTAGAGTGCAGTGTGGACGGCAGGCAAACTTCCATGGACTCCGGCTGGAAGGTCGCAGAGCCCATGGAAGGGACGCAAAGGCACTGCGAGGTTGAGACGTCATCTTAACACTCATATTCACTTGTTCCCCAAACCCTAAACCCTAAACCCTAACCTTATTCTAAACCTACCTTTTTAAGGACAGGGTTCAGGCAACAGTGAAACTCCTGCAGAGCCAGGGTTGGCTTAGGGACCACGTCTTGCTTGACTCCGAAAGCAAGGCAGCCAAGACAATCATGGTTTTCTGCCTCCTACTTACAGACAATCATGGTTTAGGGTTTAGGGTTTAGGGTTTAGAGTTGTATAGCATAGTACAGGGTTTTGGGTTGAGGGTATACAGGGTTCAAGGTTTGGGGCAGAAACTGCGCTGGTGATACGGCCTGCTGAAACCAAACTCAAAAACATCCACTTCGAACATGCAGCTGTCAGCACACTTCGGTCCAAAAGATTCGTCTGCTCTAGCGGTGATGGATCATACTACGCTAAACCCTAAGCCCCTAACCCCTAAGGCCCTAAACCCTAAACCCCTTTGCTGCTACAGTGGGTGGTTGTGAAAGTAATATGGTTCAGGGGTGTAAGGGTTTAGGGTTTAGACCCTGAACTGTGCCCGGTATAAGCATACAGCGCACTGCGAAAAAAAGATCCCACAACCCTGCCGAAACCCAACCAACCAAGAACTGCAAACCCCAAACTGTCGCATGAAGAAACAGCCCTGCGAGGCAGAGTCCCTCCACAAACCCTTTTCAGGCCTTCCGGGTTTGAGACTAGAAAGAAACAAGATCCTCATTATAACTTCATTGCGATACGCCCTAAAGGAACCCTAAATAAAGGAACAAACGAGCAGGAGTGCCTCAACGAGCTGTCGGAGGCCGCGATCTAGGCGCCGCCGCAGCAAGCGGAAGGCGTCACTCCGCAGCACCTGTTTCGGGTATACTTCTCTACTGAGGGTGTACTTATGCCACTTTAGGGGGAGAAGGGTTGCATGAAGGGCCTTACAAGGGTAGGGTGGGCTTTTGTCAGGGAGGCTTGACAGGCCACAGAAAGCAGGCACATCCATCAATCTTCGAGTTTGTGTACGAGTAGTTTCGAACACTGCACGCAGGCTCCGCCGAAGTTAAGGAGTTGTGAGAATGCAGGGGCCGAATAATGCAGGATCTTGGCTCGTATGTGTTCCTCTGTAGGTCAAGGCACCCATCGCTTTCGTTCATAATTCCATGAAAGGCCGGTATACATCTATGTTTGACTGAGCTAGTACTGCTGCTCTTTCTGTTCTTCACCCTAGACCCTAAACCCGAAACCGTACAAACTGGCAAACCCCGGTGTCACGCAAGCTCGGCTAGGCCCCACCCTTCGAGGCTTTTGGGCTCGCTTCGGCGTCTGAGAGCCCTCGTGGGGGGTCATGATCTTGAGCAGCTGGACTCATAGACCCTCTTGAGGCCCAAGCCAACTAGAAGAATTTCAGAGTTTGGGGTTTAGGGTTTAGGGTTTGGGGTTTAAGGGGGCAATGCAACAAAATTGAGTTAGGCCTTGCCGCTTTGCGGAGCTCAGCTGCGCGCAGAGGGGCTGGGGGCTTAAAAGAAAATTCGAACAGGTGCGCATGGGAAAACTGACACTCACTGGACGGAGAGGTTGCCAGCGTTCTCCATAGGAGTTCCATCCACCAGGTAGCCCACGTCCTGCGCGTAGGTGGAGGCAGGCAGGGGCGAGCCAGGTGTGTGCATGTCGGGGCCGATGTTCTCCGGGTGGTTGATGGCATTGCCGGCCCTGTTGAGCGGAGTGCCATCTGGCAGGTAGCCAACGTCGTTCACGAAGATGGCGGAAGGCAAGGGAGATCCCGGAGCATGGCTGTCCGGCTGAATGTTCTCCGGATGGTTGATGGCGTTGCCGGCCTTGTTCAGAGGGGTGCCGTCCGGCAGGTAGCCGATGTCGTTGCTGAATTCCAAGTCCGACCAGGAATCTCTCTGGAAACCATACGCGAAGTTGCCGGCATGCCTGACCTTCGAGGGAGCTGCTGCGGAGGAGCCGACGAAAGCTGCTGCAACCACAGGGGCCGGTGCCGCTGCTGGTGCAGCAGCAGGCGCGGCGCCACCCTGGACGGAGAGGTTGCCGGCCGTGGCCAAATCAGTGCCATCCACCAGGTAGCCAATGTCCGCCTTGTAGCTGGAGGCAGGCAGGGGCGAGCCAGGTGTGTGCATGTCGGGGCCGATGTTCTCCGGGTGGTTGATGGCGTTGCCGGCCCTGTTGAGTGGGGTGCCATCAGGAAGATAGCCTACGGAGTTCACGAAGTTGGCACGGGGCAAAGGCGAGCCAGGTGCATGGCTGTCAGGACCAATGTTCTCTGGGTGGTTGATGGCGTTCCCAGCCCTGTTAAGGGGTGTGCCGTCCGGCAGGTAGCCGATGTCGTTGCTGAACTCCAAGTCGGCAAGGACGTTCCCGTTCAACTCGTAAGGAGTGACCGCACGAGCAACGTGGGGAGCGCGCTCCGTCACGCTGGCGCCGACGAAGGCCGCGG